TTGCGCCGCGGCGTCGCGTGCTACCCGCAGTACAACCTCGCCAGCCACTTCGACACGCGGAGGGAGGTCGAGCACATGGCGTTGGCGCGCATCGTGAAGGAGATATCGTGACGCTGGCTGCCGGAGGCGGGAGCAAAGCCAAGGAAAAAGAAGAGTCGTCCTCGTGTTGGTGGTGGTGGTGGTGGTGGTGGTGTTGCGGAAGCGTGGCGACTGTTTGTCCCTCGTCTCGTTGGTACTGTTGCGTGGCCTTTCTCTGCCTCCTTTTCGCGTTTTTTTTTTTCGGTTTGGCGTGGAATGGTGTACTGCCCGGCGTGGAAGTTGTGGCGTACGCGTAAGAATACAGCACATAGAAAAGAAGAAAGAAAAGAAAAAAAACAACAGAGAGAGGGACGAAGTGACATATCATCCTGTACTCAGCTCTGTCAGCATCGACGGCAGTTAAACAGCATCAGGCGTAAGAATAGGTAGGGATCATTAGCCTACGAAGGGAGAGGTGACAGTGGAGTGGTGGCATACAAGCGCATGCAAGGATATCCGCAGCAGCAGTCCTACGCTGGCTATGCTGGCTACGCGGCGACAGATGCTCAGCAGCAGCTGCAACAACAGCAGCAGCAGGAACAGTATGCGTACGCCCCACCAGATCTTCAACAACAACAGTATTCGTACGGGCCAACGGCGACCAGTGGAGACTATGGGCTGCACTACAGCCCAGTTGCCACCGGCGAGCCACATAGTCTAATAGGGGGATCCACTGCAACGAACAGCGGGTACAGTAGCAACTTCCCGCAGCAGGTGCAGCCACAGCAGCAGCAACTTCATAACGGCTACAATGGTTCTGTAGGGCGGCAGCAGTCGTACAATTACCAGCCACAAGCCACCGCTACGAACGAGGGTTACAACGGTGGCGCGTATGAAGAGACAGCGGCAGCAGCAACGGCAGGACCTGCTGCTGCTGCTGCTGCTTCTCCATCTCCCGCATTCGACGCTTCCACCAGCGCTTGCCCCGATTCTGCCCTCTCGTTCGGTTTTGAGCAACCAACTGAGGCGCCAAATACCACCGACGCAAACGGGCTGCGCTGGACATGGAGCACGTACCCGAACACGTACCGTGATAGCAAGCAGGAGCCTGTAGGCACCGCCGCCGCGTCCGTCCCACTGCCGGAGATGATCATCCCTCTCGCCTGCATGTACACCCCACTTCACCCCATTGATGCAGGTCGGCTTGTGATTGGCGACCCCTCCGCTCGCGGCCAGCAGTGCCCGAACTGCGGCGCTTACTGGAACAAGCACTGCTACCGCGAAGAGGGAAAGTTCTGGGTATGTCTCTCGTGCCTGCGACGCAACCCAACGCCACCGAGCTACAACCCGCAGCACCCAGCGCTGCATAACGACACGGTGGAATACATCCTCCCAACAACAGCTCCCACGTCGGCGGAAGAGGACGCGGTCACCCCCGCGTACCCGACGTTTATATTCATCATTGACACCTGTCTGCCGGTGGAGGAGCTCGATGCTCTGAAGAGCCATATTGTGCGGTGCCTCGACTGGCTGCCCTTGCAGTCCCTTGTCGGGCTTATATCCTTTGGTGCGCGTGTATCAGTGTGGGAGCTTGGTAGCGCAGCCTTGGCGCGGTGCTTCAACGTGCGCGGCGATAAGCTGTATGACCCAGTCGAGCTTTCGGCAATGCTGCAGCTGGTCGACGCGCAATCTGTGCGTGGAAGATTCCTCGTACCCCTCGAGGAGTGCGAGTTTGTGCTGACGACACTTATTGAGGAGATGCAGTGCAATGACACTATCACGCCTGCTGACAAGCGGCCACTGCGCACAACGGGGACAGCTGTTAGTATCGCCGTGCGGCTGTTCGAGGCCTTGCAGCAAACTCCGGCGGAGAAGAGCACTGTGGAGCAGGTGGCAAAAGGTGGTCGGCTGCTGCTCTTCACGGGGGGCCCGTGCACGCGTGGGCCGGGGACTGTCGTGAGCGTTGATAAGGAGAAGATGATGCGTTTCCATCGCGACATCATCGACGGCGAGACGCCGTACTATGAGGCTTCTTTTAAAATGTACAACGACCTGCAGCAGCGGCTGTCGAACGTCAACGCGAGCCTCGATGTGTTCGCGGAGAGCTTCGACCAAATAGGCATCCTCGAGATGCGACAGGCGGTGAATCAAACAGGTGGCACATTTGTCTGCGGCGACGCCTTCAGCCACCAGATGTTTGCCACATCGCTGCAGGGATACTTCGACCGCTGCGACCTCCGCATCCGCGGTCTTGAGGCGGGGAGTGCTGCTGGTGAAAGCAACTTTATTGTGCGCAGCGCCTTTGGCGTAAAGTTCGAGGTACACACCTCCGCCGACACGCTCGTGAGCGGTGTGCTCGGCCCGTGCCTCATTGATGAGAAGGCGAATAAGGCGAAGCCGCACCGCGCCTCGTCGCCCATACAAGTTGGCGTTGGCGGCACCACTCGTTGGTGTGTCAGCACGGTCGACCAGGCGGTCACATACACCTTTGTGTTCGACACCGCCACGATGAACAAGAAGGACGGCGCGTATGCCTCCGGCGCCAGGGGCCAAGGCAGTGTCGGCAACAACAACAGCAGCAGCAGCAGCGGTGATGCGAAGCGACGGTTTGTGCAGTTTGTCACGCGCTTCAGCACACCAAACGGGGAGTCGCGGGTGCGTGTGACAAGCGTTGTGCTGCCTGTCGCGCCGTCGTCGCCGAGCATCGACCCGCAGTACTTTGTCCGTCTCCAGTCGTTCGACCAGACGTGTGCGGCGACGGTGCTTGCCCGAATGGTGGTGAGCATCCTCGAGAAGCACCCCAGCAAGTGGGACGACACGAAGCGGTGGCTCGACACGCTGCTGGTGCGCTTTGTGCGGCGCTACAGCACGTACACGGCGGGAGTGCCGGAGTCACTGCGGCTGAGCCCGTGCCTCTCGCTGTTCCCTTCCTTCATGTTCAACCTGCGCCGCTCCGAGTACTTCATGGTGCTGAACATATCCCCCGACGAGACGGCGTTCAAGCGGCACTGGTTGATGCGCGAGCCGGTGGAGAACTGCGTGCTGATGATTCAGCCAACGCTGCACTCGTACGACATTGAGGCTCCGATGGCAACGCCGGTGCCGCTCGACAGCTGCAGCCTGCGCCCCGACAACGTACTCCTCATGGACGCGTACTTCAACATCCACATCATGTGGGGCACGACCATCTACGCATGGATTCAGGCGAAGTACCACGAGGACCCGGAGTACGCGTACTTCGCGCAGCTGCTCGACACCGTCGAGGGCGATGCACTCGCGCTGTTGGCCGCCCGCTACCCGTATCCTCGCTTCTCCCGTACGGACGCGAATGGGTCGGAGGCGCGGCACATCAAGACGCGCATGAACCCGACCACGACTCACCATAGCACTGGCGCCGCTGCTTGCTCCCCCACTGGTGACCAGTCGGACGTGATTTACACCGACGAGGCGTCCATCGTGAAGTTCATGGAGTCGCTTAAGCAGGCCGTTGTCACGGGCGCCGCAAGGAATGACGGCGCCACCAGCGCCAGCAACGGCGGTCGCTAATCTGGAGGGGAAAAGAGGAAGTTGGTTGTTGGTGTTACCTTGTGACATGGACACTTGGTGTTCTTTCGTTGCTGTTGTTGTTGTTGGGTTTTTTTT